ATTGAAGCTCTGAAACCCTAAATAGAATATACCCTAATTCTTCAAACAAAACAAGGAAATTACACCCAGGCAGAAAGCCCAAGCAGCCCAAAAATCGATATGATAAGGACAAAGAACATGGAAAATAAACCAACAAAGAAAGACCACCAAAGCAAAGTAATTCATAGAAGAACAAAAAGCTTGAAACACAAAAATCAACTAACCAACTCCAAGAAACAATTGGTTAACAGTACTGAAGGAAACTGATTCAGGATCAACAGAAAACAAACACAAATCTCTAAATAATAGTAATGCTGAAGAAAAACACTGAGACCAAAAGATAAAAGTAGATCAAATCAATGGTCTACATTGAAAACATAAGAATAAAACTGGAGCAGTAGCAGCCACCAACAGATATAAACACAAAGAAATAAGTCTTCCCAACAATGTTTCTATCTTTACTGCAGAAATGCAAGCACTAAAGATGGCAATTGATCTCATAAAGAAATTACCAGAAAAACAGTTTGTAATTTTTACACACTTTTTATCTTCTCTCATAACCCTAAAAGAAAGGAGATCGAACCATCTTTATATTCCCAATATACTGGAAGAATATCACAATAAAAACACAAACGAAAGTAATCTTGGCCTGGATACCAATCCATGTTGATATAAGAGGGAATGAAAAGGCAGATATACTAGCCAAAAAAGCCCTTAACATTGAAATAACCAATATCAGAATATCACATACAGACTTTAAAAAGATAATCAAAGGCCGCATGAAAAATCAAAATGGCAAGCAAAACGGAACATCTTCCTCAGGATAAGTTATATGAGCATCAATCCATAGTCAGAACAGAAAACATAAACATAACTGATAGAAGGGAAGATACTGTACTAACAGGTGTCCAGATTGGCCACATAAGACTGACCCATATACATCTGCTTAGAGAAGTTGTGCCTCAGTGTAACCACTGCAATCAAAGGCTAACAATAAAACATATATATATATATATATATATATATATATATATATATATATATATATATATAATAGAATGTGAAAACTACACACATCTATGCAGCAAATTCTACAAAGTAACAAACAAAAACATTATTTGAAAATATAGCCATTTCCCAAATTAAAAGGTTTCTAAAGGAAATTAAATTGTACTAATTTATTTAATAATAAAAACAATCCAATACTAGTAAGATGATAACAACATGCGGACAGGAATGAAATAACAATTAACTGAGTGATTCTATGAAATAGAAAAAAAGGGAGGGGATAAAAATCAAAAACTGTTTGATCTTGGATGACCTTAAAATGATTGATAGATCATTAAACACAAACAAACAAATCATAGAAAAGAAAATTTAAATACATGCCAGAATGTAGCCAACAGAATCTTTTGTACCACACTGACAACACCCAGTTCTTGATAACGACAGGTGGTCAAAAGTACTTGAATGGAAATAAGAAAAAGGTAAAATGAACTTTGGACAGTTTATTCACAATTTTGATCTTGATGTACATCATCTTATTTGAAAAATGGAATAAAAATTAAAATTAAACAAGCAGATCTTTTCAGGTGAATTTAACAAAGCTAGTTTGAATTATTTATGTTATATGGATTATATAACACAATATATTCAGCAACATTCTTCTTAAATGTTCAGTAATGTAATTAGAGACGTGAGCTGTGATTCTTGTGAACAAGTACATACTAAGGGAACATGCACACATATGGTAATATATAGTTGCTGTGTAGTTCTTGAATTCTTTTTTTTTTTCTTTTCTTTCTCTTTGAAGTTTTGCTCTGTAATGATTTCCGTGGGTTGTATTATGGTTTAAACAGTAACAAATGTAGTTGTTTAGAATATGGGTATATAAATTGTTGATGTGTGCCGGGGGAAGCATGATTTGTTACCAATTGGTTCAATGGTTCACTTTCTATACCCATATTGTGACAAAAGATCTACCTAAAGTTCTGCTTAAAAGTTCACACATTTCCATTTTGGTGAATGATAATTGGCAAAAAAAAAAAAATGGTAGATTTTGTTGGATATCTATATTAATCTGCATGTTCTCTTCATCCTAAAATTTGTTGCTTTTAAAAATCTTTTGAATACTTACAAACACCTGTTTTACATATTTTATTCCTTGAAATTTTTTTCCATTTTTGTCATTCAATTACCCACTGTTAGTCTGATATATAAATTTGTCTATTATATCTTACATGTGTGTATGTATGTTTCTATGGGTGCATGGCTGAGTGGTTAGAATGTTTGCTTTCTGGCCATGAGACCCAGATTCAAATCTCACTAGGATCAATTTATCAGGGAGGTGATTTCTTGCCTAGAGTGACAATCCCAGCATCTGGCATTTTGTAAAACTAAAATATGGGTTACCCAAGCCTTATGCATGAGATTGGGTAGATGGAATTGTTTAGAAGCTGTCAGTGGTTGTGTTTTTCTTTTTAATCATTTCACCCCAACTAAAGCAATAAAGCCACTAGGATGCAAAAGGTTACTGAGTGTTAGAGAATATGAGAAAAACTACTATTAAGGAGAGAGAACAATAAAAGAACAAAAATTAAGACGATAGAAGATAACAATTGACATTGTATTTAAATTTTTGAAGATCAAAATTGACTGGGAAGCAAGAAGCCGAAAGAGTTCCACAAGCGAGAAGTGTGATCAAAGAAATTGTTAGCATAGAACTTACAATTACATCTAGCAGCGATTTCAACTGTAAAATGATGAGACCTTGCTGTTAATCTAGTACTGCATGTAAATTCATAAAGTCTAAGTACCAAAGAGGAAAATTCATCAGAGCAATTACCATGAAAGTATTTATAGAAAAAGCAGTAGGAAGCTACTTTATGGCAGTGGGAAAGTGACTGAAGCTGAAATGCCAGGTCAGGGCCAATAACATTGCAGATTCTTCTTTTGGATTTTATCAAGAATCTCTAAATATATAGCAGGAGCACCAGACCATATGTGGCAGCAATATTCAATGCATGGATAAATAGAAGATCCATTACAGCAGAGGGAAAGTGACTGAAGCCAAGATGTCAGGTCAGGATCAATAACATTGTAGATTCTTCTTTTGGATTTTATCAAGAACCTCTAAATATATAGCAGGAGCACCAGACCATATGTGGCAGCAATATTCAATGCATGGATAAATAGAAGATCCATTACAGCAGAGGGAAAGTGACTGAGGCCGAGATGTCAGGTCAGGATCAATAACATTGTAGATTCTTCTTTTGGATTTTATCAAGAATCTCTAAATATATAGCAGGAGCACCAGACCATATGTGGCAGCAATATTCAATGCATGGATAAATAGAAGATCCATTACAGCAGAGGGAAAGTGACTGAGGCCGAGATGTCAGGTCAGGATCAATAACATTGTAGATTCTTCTTTTGGATTTTATCAAGAATCTCTAAATATATAGCAGGAGCACCAGACCATATGTGGCAGCAATATTCAATGCATGGATAAATAGAAGATCCATTACAGCAGAGGGAAAGTGACTGAGGCCGAGATGTCAGGTCAGGATCAATAACATTGTAGATTCTTCTTTGGATTTTATCAAGAACCTCCTAAATATATAGCAGGAGCACCAGACCATATGTGGCAGCAATATTCAATGCATGGATAAATAGAAGATCCATTACAGCAGAGGGAAAGTGACTGAGGCCGAGATGTCAGGTCAGGATCAATAACATTGTAGATTCTTCTTTGGATTTTATCAAGAACCTCTAAATATATAGCAGGAGCACCAGACCATATGTGGCAGCAATATTCAATGCATGGATAAATAGAAGATCCATTACAGCAGAGGGAAAGTGACTGAAGCCGAGATGTCAGGTCAGGATCAATAACATTGTAGATTCTTCTTTTGGATTTTATCAAGAATCTCTAAATATATAGCAGGAGCACCAGACCATATGTGGCAGCAATATTCAATGCATGGATAAATAGAAGATCCATTACAGCAGAGGGAAAGTGACTGAAGCCGAGATGTCAGGTCAGGATCAATAACATTGTAGATTCTTCTTTTGGATTTTATCAAGAATCTCTAAATATATAGCAGGAGCACCAGACCATATGTGGCAGCAATATTCAATGCATGGATAAATAGAAGATCCATTACAGCAGAGGGAAAGTGACTGAATCTCTAAAATATAGCAGGAGCACCAGACCATATGTGGCAGATGTCAGGTCAGGATCAATAACATTGTAGATTCTTCTTTTGGATTTTATCAAGAATCTCTAAATATATAGCAGGAGCACCAGACCATATGTGGCAGCAATATTCAATGCATGGATAAATAGAAGATCCATTACAGCAGAGGGAAAGTGACTGAGGCCGAGATGTCAGGTCAGGATCAATAACATTGTAGATTCTTCTTTGGATTTTATCAAGAACCTCTAAATATATAGCAGGAGCACCAGACCAGATGTGGCAGCAATATTTAAAGCAAGGATGAATAGTAGACTTATAAATATGTAAAAATAGATTCTGGTGAGAAAAATTGGCTAGTATGACATAGTAAACCAACTTTCTTAGCTGTAGACATAGCAATTGATTCAATCGACTCTCTTTCTAGTTCATGTCAGCTGAAAACATTAGTTCAAGAAGGTCCAATGAGTCACATGCCTGGAGGTTAGCATCAGCCATATTGATGGAAGGTAAAGAGTTCTCTCAGATGCTTAAAAAAAAAAAAAGAACAGTTTTGTGTTTTTTTTTTTTTTTTTTCTTTTGTTAGACATTAAAATTGTGATAGCACAAAGTCACAAATTCATTGTGACCAAGATTTTGGGAAAACTGGCCTTTTTTCAAAAAAAATTCATCATGCTCTTTTTATATTTATGATTATATATGATTCATAAAAGTTTGTTTTTTTTTTTTTTTTTTAATTTAATTTTATTAATCCCTGAATTTTTACATTTTGTTTTCTTTTCCAGAATATAATAAATTTTAATTGCTTGCTTTTTCCTCTTTCAGAAGAAACAATGATGTGGCGAGCAAAGAACTATGGTGATGTAAAATTATATGAAAAAGCTGGAAATTTGGACACTCCGTCTTGTAAACGTCTCAATTCTTTGTATGGAGGCTGAAGCTTTCATAAAATGTCCACTTGGCCTGACCCTCCTCTCCTTGATATGGCCAGCATGAAGGATAGTTATGTAATTCTTGTCAATGTTGTACAAAATTAAAACATTTGGCAACAAGAATCCCACATTACTTTTGTATAGACGTACTTTGATAAGAACACTCATGCAAACTCTGTTCTTTGCATACAATCACTTTTTGAAACTACTGACCACAAATAATTGATAAAAAGGAGAAAAAATTGAATTTGTCAGATTTGCATTTTCTCATTCCTGTGTGAAATCCACTTGATCTGTCAACGTACACATCTGGCCAATAGACAGATGAGAAGGTGGGGGATGATAATGATGGTGATGGTGGTAATGGAAGTTTGAGTCTTTGCCTGGACTCTCCTTCAATTTTTGCCTTTTACTACACTCCATCTCTATACGTGCAGAACATAATTATTTATAATGACACTTTGATTTATTATAGGTTTATAGATCTGTTTAAAATGACAAACATTATAGGATACAAATAACAAAAGCACATATATTCAAGATTTTAACTTTTTTTTTTTTTTTTTTATTTACTTTTTTGATAGGTTATAGACAAAAAGAAGATTGTATATATGACTGTGATGTTAAAAAGGAATTGCATCAGTATCTATTTAAAAAAAAAATAAAAATAAAAAAAAAATTAATGGATATATTATAAATGCTATATGGTCTTCTCCAGTAATTCAATACTTTGTAAAAACAGTAATCTTTTTATTTATTTGAAAAGGCTATACTTAGAAATTTAAAAAAAAAAAATTTTTTTTTTTCTAAATTCAGTAAGTTCATCAGTAAATTTCTATATCGATCTTTAATTATTTTATAACGTGTCAAGATTTCAATTAAAGCCTGATTTAGTTAAAAGTAAAAACATTTCAAACTAATAAAAAAAAGATAGACAAAATAAAACTTTCTACTTTTTCTACTGTCCTTATAACTCTTAATGGGGTACAATAGCTGAGCCTTTTTTGACACAAACACTCGCATCACACATAGACATTTTTTTAATGATTTCCTCCTTGCACATTTCCTAGTATAAGTAATTATTCCAAATACTAATCAAGATTTCAGATGTTTAACTTTTGCTTTTTTTCCTTTATTTCACATGTTGCCAATCTTTAAAAATCACAGTGTCATGGTGTTCCTTCCAGCTATAGCCATTTCAGATTCTCTTTTTAAAGTACATCAAATTTTCATGTAAAGTGCTCCCATGCTGTTGCTAAATTAACATCTGTTTTATTCTGGCAAGCAATATATTATACTTGTGTCTGTGTACTGTCTACTGTGTAGACCTACACCTGGTTCAGTCGTGGCTTGGATTGGATTTTCAAAAACCAACTTGATATGCTGATCAGCCTATGGAAGGGAGTTAGTTGGGTGTCGCTCAAGAAAACAGTTACAATGTCAACAAAGCTATGGGTTGTGATCACTCCACTGACCCTTTTTAATGTCAACTACCTTGTTTGAATTCCATTACAACTGATATATTTATTTATTTGTGTATATCTCATTAGAAAAAAATTAATTATTCTTAAAGGAAAAATAAATGCTGGCAAGATTTTTTGTATGGTTTTTCTTGTTTTTTTCCCCCCCCACTCTATGTTCCTTATTTGCAAATAATTTAGTTTTTATGAATTTTAATTCTTTACATGAAAATAATTCTACACCTTTCCAATTGTTAGTCTTGATATCCACTCCTGGCTTATGAATAGGTAGATGTAATTCAGTATTTGAATTTCAATAGTATTAAAAAATTTAAAATTATTAAATTACCTGTAATTCATACTAATCTCACCTTGTAGGAGAATTGTTTTTATTTAGCATGATTAGTTGAATAAAAATTCTGACCAATGAAAAAGAAACATTTATCTGAATTAATTAGAACAATGTTTATAAACTTTTCAAATATGCATTATTTAAATAGATTTTTATTGTTTTTCTATTTTTTCTGTTAAGTGTTATAATAGATCTGCATTTCTTTCCTTTGCCATTTTGTACAGTGGATCAGTGATGAATAATTACTGTTATTGCAAATGATGATATAACAATAAAGACATCATTGCAAAAGATGAAATAGCAATAGACTGATGGTATTGTAAAAGCTAGCAATAGACTGACGTTACTACCTAGATGAGATAGCATTAGAATGATGTTACCACCTAGATAGCATTAGGATGACGTTACTGCCTAGATGAGATAGCATTAGGATGACGTTACCGCCTTGATGAGATAGCATTAGAATGACATTCAAATGTCAGCATTCTCTTGAGATTTGTTAAAACTGAAGGGGTGGGGAAAACATGGCCTATACTTAAGATGACATGTTCATAATGCTGGTCGAAAAGTCTGCAAGTGAAAATCTAATATTTTTCTGTTTCTCTCTATTCTCTGACTGACTGACCAATTTATAATCTTTTTCATTCGTATTCACTAGTTTTGACAAATGTTATTATTTGTCACATTTTAAAGTCCTTTTCTGAATATGCTTTGCATGATCTGCTATTTTTTTTGGCAGTTGCAGAATGTCTAAGAAGAGGTGTTTGTGTGTATATTTTCAGAAATATGAGAAGGGTGCTGTAAAGTTCTTTGCCAAATCCATTTCCCAAAAATCAAGGTTCCGATGTTGATAGATATATATATATATATATATATATATATATATATATATATATAGGGAAGTGAGTTGAGCTGAGAACCTTTTGTATAAAACTACAGAAATGAAAATGATATTTATTCAAATCTAGGCAGTGATTACTGTTTTTGGTATTATATAAAATTTTCTTTCCTACAATTTAATCTCTTTATATAAACTAAGAAAAGTTAGCTAGATAGTTAAATTTTCTGGAAAGTTTTATGCCCAATGTTTTTTATGTTGTAGAACATGTGAAACCATACATATTTATTTAAAAAATGTTTAGTTACTTTTATTAATTTCTATTTAAGTTTATTTCTAGAACTGACAGAATTTTCATTTTGAATATCTGTAAAATAAATACAAAAAAAACAACTTGTATATTTTATGCCAATTTATAAAAAAAAATATTGTTTACTATTTAAATGTTGGTTATTCATAGTTTTATTTCTTGGCTTTTGATATAGTAAAGTTTTAATGTATCTGTTTAAATTTAATAAAGTTATTGATTGTATTTAAGATATATAGATAATTTTTATCTAAATGTTGCTATAGTTACCTCAAATTCGAATGAGTTTTTAGTTATTTCTAATAATGAATAGTTTGAATAAACATTGACATGTGACTTTTATTTTTGCTGTGATCATATATATATATATATATATATATATATATATATATATGTATATATATATATATAATTTGCTAAACATTTGGTTTAATATTGGCCATTTTCTTTAAATAAAATCTGTATATTTGTCAGTTTATTAATCTCTTTTGAGCAGATTTATACAAACAATAACCTACTTTTCAATGTTTTCAATTAGAATCCTTCCGACTTTGCTTTTTCCCCCTGCAAATTTCTGATAAAGCTTTTCTTTTAATTTTAGGGAATCTGTTATCTGTCATTGGAGAACATTGTATATGCACTAATAAATTTTGGAGGTTTACTGAGGGATTGAATAGTGTGAATATTAACTCCTCATATCATTACTACTATACACAATAGAACAATATCATAAGGGAACATTTTTAATCACTCATTATACTGAAGAATTTTAAAGTTAGAATCCGTTGTCTTTCTCTTAATATTAAGAATATTAATTTCTTAAATATTTTTTTACACATATTTTGCATTGTAAAAAATGCTTTTTTTTTTTTTTTTTTCTTTAAGCATAATTTGTCAGTATAAAAATACCATTTACATTCAGACTATTGTCCTCATCTTTGTTTCGACCATTGTGCCTTCTGGCCTTCATCAGGTGTATATTGTTCTCGGAAACCTACAGAGAATTCTGAACCCTTTATTTAATCTATGGGGGTAGACTGTTTTTGTTACACTGCCCATATCTGGGGATATCTCATCTAGTTTTTATATTTAGTACTGCTCAGTTATTGCTCGCCCATACTGAGCAGTATTAAAAATAAGAACTAGATGATATCTCTAAACATGGACAGTGAAACAAGGACAGTCTACTCTTCAGTTCACAATTCCCTGTAGGTTACCCAAATCAATATACACTTGAAGGCTGGAATACATAATGGACAAAATGTTTAACAACAAAAAATATGAGGACAATAGTCCAAATGTAAATAATGATAAGTCCAGAAATTCAGATTAAAAAAAAAAAAATACCATCATGGTTCATAGAAATTAATAATACTTTTTTTCTATTTTTTTTTATTTTTCTTTGGCATGATACACTCTTTCATCATGTTTCAACAGCCATATTACAGGTATACCTCGGATTATGTTGTTTTGAGTTAAGTTGTTCTTGATTATACATTTTGTCAAAAAATATATGGAAAAGTAAAAATCAAGTTTAAGTCATTTTATTTGACTTTACATTTGTCCGACACAAACATAATGTCACTAGAAAAGCATTAAAAGCACATAAAATCATGTTACTGTAAAATAAATAAGAATTAAAGTATATAAAATCATATTAAAATACATACATTTACAGTAAATGTTAATATAATCATCATAAATCCTAGAGAACAAAATATGAAAACATTTGTGACTGTGTTGTCTTATTTAGTGGTATAAACCTTGAAGAAAAGAACAACACAGTTCAAGGAACTCTCAATCAGTTTTTTTATTAATAAGCATATCAAACAACAGCCAGAATCTGCTGTTGATGCTGACTATCCACAATCATCTATGTCTGTGATGTAAATAAACAAATTGAATGTAAATATTGGTAAATTTAATATAAATTAGTTTATTTTCTACTATTGCAAAATAATTTTAATAACTGTA